ATTCCCGAATGTCCCCCTACAGCTGTGCCATGAAATTGTTGCAGCAAGTGAGGGATGTGTGGTGTCCTTGATAGCACAAACCGTCCTTGGTAAAGCAACTTTTGACCCACCACGAAATAACCAGGATCATTATCATTGTTCTGCAATAAATCTCCTATGCTTTTACTCAGCTCTTCATCCTACTCGCTCTATTGCTTCAAGGCATCCCAATCCACCACCATGGAGACCAATAGTCATAACTTGAGAATCTTCACTACATTTGGAGAGAGCATATACAGCTTTATTTTCTAACTCGGGCTTGTATTGGATCTTAAAGTCATACTCAAACAACTTGGAAAGTCACCGTTGATGCTCCTCTATCACCATCATTTGTTCTAGCAAGAACTTCAAACTCCTCTTATCGGTCCTGACAATAAAGTGCCACCCCAAAAGGTAAGGTCGCTACTTCTGAATTTCTAACACAATCGCCGCTAGTTCACTTTCAAATACTGATTTCAATCTGACCCTAGCAATCAACACTTGGCTACCATAACCTGATGCATTAGTCTCTACTATAAACAGTTGATTGAAATCTGATAGTGCTAACACAAGGACACTATTCATGCCTTTCTTCAGCTGCTCAAATGTATGAGTTGCTATCTCCCCTCATTTGAAATTGTCCTTCAGCTGCTCTGTCAACGGCCAGGCTATAGAGGTATATCCCTTCACAAACCTCAAGTATTATCCTGTGAGTCCTAAGAATCTCCTTAGCCCCTTCAGGTTTTTAGGCATTGGCCACTCCATTGCCTCTATCTTGGTTGAATCCGCGGACACCCCAGCTTAAGAAACTATATGGCCCAAGTACGCCACCCTTGCTGCGCAAAAAAACACTTATTCAAGGTGGCATATAATCGGTGCTCCTTCAAAGTTCCCAACAGCATTCCCAAGTGCTCCTCCAACTTGCTATTAAAAAGGATGTCATCAAAGAATACCAGAGCAAACTTTCGAAGATAAGTTTTGAACACTATATTCATAAGTGAATGGAAAGTGGCAAGGGCATTTGTGAGGCCTAAAAGCATCACCAAGAACTCATAGTGTCCCTCATAAGTTCTGAAAGTCATATTGTGGGTGTCTTTTGGTCTATTTCTAATCTGGAGATACCCGGACTCAAATTGATATTTGAGAACACTACCGAACCATGCAACTCATCTAGCATCTCATCAATGACCGATATGAAAAACTTGTCTGGCACAGTCTCCTTATTCAAAGCACGATAATCTACATAGAATCTCCAACTGTTATCCTTCTTCTTCACCAACAACATGGGACTAGAAAACTGGCTCACACTTGGCTTAATGATCTCGGCTTCAAGCATCTCCCAAATCAACCTCTCAATCTCATCCTTTTGGACCTGTAGGTAGCAGTATAGTTGAACACTAATGAGAGTGACTCCTTCCTTTAGAATAATAGCATGCTCGTGCTCCGCAGAGGAGACAATCCTTGGGGAGGTTAGAATACTTCACCAAAATGTTGGAGAACTGGCTAAGCTACTCTTAGAATGTCCTCTATCTCCCAAGCATCTCCTCCCTCCAAGCTCTGGAGCTCCACCAAGAATCCCAATCCTTCACCTTGTATGGCACGCACCATGGTTTTCAAGGAAACCATTGCTTTGGATAAACTAGGGTCTCCCTTAATCACCACCTTTCTCGCCTTCACTTGGATTTCCATAGCTAAGGCCTTCCAGTCCACCTTGGTCTCCCCCAAAGTTTGTAATCACTTCATACCCAAGATCAGATCCGTACTTCCCAACTCAGGTGGAATAAAATCCTCTCTAATGTGAATCTCCTTCAACTCCACCACCAATCCCTGATAGATACCCCTGCCTTGTGTCCACAATCACCCCAAAATATCCTGTGTCTACCAGCTTTAGCCCCAGCTTATCAACCACCTGATTTGATATAAAATTCTGGGTAGCCCCACTATCCACTAAAATCGCCACTGCTTCCCCTCCTATCCATCCCCTCATTTTCATAATGTGATTTAAGGTGAATCCCACTACATAATTTAACGAAACCTCTGCCATCTCCAAGTGTAAGGGCTCCTCATCCTCTAACACTTCTCTTTTCTTCTTCTACTCCACCAATCTCCTCATCACAAACAAAAAAGAACATAAAGGTGCGATTTATACACCTATGGCCTGATTTAAACTTCTTGTCGCACCTAAAACATAACCCCTAAGCTCGCTTGTCATGTAGCTCCGTATCAATTAGCCGTTTAAAGTTCCCTCCCGGCTGAGCTGCCAAACCTTTCTCCTTTGGAGCTTCTCTTTTACCTAACACTGTCAACACACTAAGTGCAAGGAAGGTGATCGTTGTGCAGTAAGAACCCCCAAAACTGCCCCCTTTGTTACTCCTCTTAGTGAGCTTGTATCCTCTATCAACTGGACTAACTCCATAGCATCTCCCAAGTCACGGGGTCTTGCCAGCCGCACTGCGTCTCTCAGCTCTAGTTTAAGTCCCTTCATGAAATTGCTCTCTAACATCGTTTCCGATAGTCTCCCTAAACGTTCCCACCTGTGTCAGAGCAAAAAACTACTCATAATAGTCCCCCTCCTGCTTAGTTTGAAAGCGCTCCAATAAATGGTTCTTGAAATCCTCCCATTAATAGATCGGTTACCTCATCTCCCTCTATTGGTACCATGCCAGTACATTCCCTTCAAGACATAGAGCCATTGTCATAAGCCTCTCCCCTTCCATCAACTCATTCACCCCAAAATATTTCTCTACTCTATAGATCCACCCATGTGCATACTCGCTTCAAACACTGACATTTTCAGCTTCCTGACCTTCGGATCTCCTCCACTCCAATTTCCCCTTTCACCCCCCATGCCTCCCATAAAGCAAGCATATGGGTCTCGCCATGGTTCTCACTCCTCCCTTCTCCTTTCATACCCCTCTCTTCCTTCAAATTCATCTAGCTTATACTCTTCTTTTCACTCCCTACTACCGCCATATTTCCTATCAATCTCCCTTCTCAGTAGAGGCTCAAGGTAGGATAATCCTCCTCCTCTCCTAAAATTTTCACCTCTCCGTCTCCCTTTGGCATGTCATTTCTTTGATTCCCCCTTACTTACGGTGGAACCGCTTTAGTTTGAAACTACAACATTCACTTCATCATCTCCTCCAGGATATTCTCAAATCTTCCTTCCGTCGCTGGAAAATGCTTATTCAACGATCCCACATCCGTTTGCATCTTCTCTACTTCCCCCTCTTACTTTTCTTCCAACGTCTCAACTCTTCTCCCAACCATCGATCTCAAAAACTTGCTCTGGTATAATTTGATATGTTTTGGAAATTAAATCAACACCTAAAACAACCACTATAATGAAATCAGCTCCAAACAGCAAAAAATAGCCAACAAAATCAAGAGAAAATAACAATGGCATGCTGGAAAAACGCTAATAAAGCTGAAATAACAATCTTTGATCAAATAAACATAAGATAATATTGATTCACTATTCGAGAGGTGAATCGACTCTCCTCCAATTTCCTAGCAGTAACAAGGAACCCAAAATCACCTAAGAAAAATTACTTTAGAAAATTCTTCACATAAATTCCTCCCACATACAAACTTTACCCCATAAAATCAACCCTAATCCCACCATAAATGCACCTCACATTTCCTCCAATGATCTCCCCTTAAACTTTTTTCCTCCTATAGGTCTAAAATGAGGTGTTGGGACCCACAAAACAAGAGTCTTTTAGCTCTTGAAATGAGGTGAGGTCCACAACCTATCATATACATCCTTACATTTTACATCAACCATACACAAATGGCCTTATATGACAAGGTCTATTTAGTTGAGTTTTGGAGGTTGAGCCAATTACTTAGGACATAATAGTAGCATGAAGATGGTTTACTTGACATAAGATTATGAGTATGTTTTAGTTGTTTTTTAATTATTTTATTTTTCAAATTGTTGTCATATGACTACTATTTTTTGCTATTTAATGATATTTCATATTATATTTAGATTTATATGAGATTTTGATGAGAATATGACCCTTAACAAGGAGTAATTATTCCGTCAGGTTATCGAATGCATCCGGAAACCAATAACAAAATGCCACGTCACTAAAGTGCTCGGTACAGCGCGCTCGGTACACTCGGTATGCTCGATTTTGCTCGGTATTTTCACCGGATGTAATAATTTTTCCTTAACAAGACACAATGGTCAAAAAAAATTATGTAGCCGACCCACATAATAGGATAAAGGCTTGTTTTTAATGATATTTGATATTACTATCTACTTTTTATAATTATTTTATATTTTACTCCATGTTTATAATTAGGAGCACTATATCGTGTGTTATTCATCGCGGCTTTATAGAATAGTTTGTGCCATGATGTGTCATTCGCCGTTGGCAAATATGCTCACACATAAACTTCAACAATTATTAACATAATACTTTTGCATTACAATCCCATCAAAAACTATGAATCAAAAGGTACATCTCATTTAGAAAAATTAATATTAATGGCACTTCTGATATGATTTAAGGATTTAGGTGTTATACTAGTAAATAAAATAGTTTAGGTGTCAAATATATAAAATCATAAGAATTATGTGGTATGTATGTAAATGTCCCCCCTCACACATGCGTAAGGAATAGATGAAGATAAATTTTCATTAAAAAATTTTGAGAAAAGAAATTTAAAAAAAAAGGAATAGATGAAGATAAAAGAAAGAAAGAAAGAAAAAATATGAATGAGAAAAAAATTCTTAGAGTTTTGTAAGTGTCCTTATGTATTAAAAAAATAATAATAATGCCAAAACAAAATCTAAATAACCATTAAGCATCCAAGCCACCTCCTCTTTCCTTCATGAAACAAAAACCCCACCAATGGAGAAAAGAATTGATCTAGCAGGAATTCGATCCAAATTAACAACTCGAACGAAAAGAATAAAGCACTCCAAAGCAAAGTATTGGCCGCAATGTAGAGGGATAAAGAAAGCGAACCCTGGTCGTTTCGGGCTTTGAATATGATGGTTCCCGTGTCGTCCCCAACAAGGCATTCGGCAATCTTCGTCTGCCGGAGGTGTGCCGATGCAGCTCGGCCCTTCTGCAGCACTGTCTTCGACTCAAGCACCTTCACCGTAAGTGTGTGCCCGCTCGTCCCCGGCTTCAACTGATCCACTTTCACGAACACCGGCTTCCTCATTGAAGGCTTCGACGAAGCCATTTCTGGTTCCAATGAAGAAAGCCCTAACCCCAAAAGGAAATAAAAGACCGAATTAAGGTAGAAGCTGAAAGGACGACGAAAAGTTATAGAACGAATTGAAGGCAAACTAAAATAATAATAATTATTATTATTATAGAGTAATTAAGTATAAGAATAGTAATTATTTACAAATAAAAAAAAAAAACATCAAATAATTTGAGAGTTTCTTCAGAAAATATTAATCTGTTTGGCGCTTTCTTAAAATAGGTTACATGACATTTTTTAATATTTTTGAAGAAAACCCTAAACTATTGTAGTTTAGCTTTTCCTTAAGAAAACGTTAAATTATGTGGCCTTTTTATTGCTTTTTAAATTTTTGAATAATTGTAATTTTTTGCTTAATTACTTTACAATCAACCTCCTTTTTAAAATTTGGCCTTAATTGAATGCCTTTTGCGGGGTAACTATGGCATGGAGTGGCATAAAGTAGCATGACCTATCTTTAAACAATTTATAAATAAATCCTCATTCTCTAAATGAAGAGGGCGAGCTTAGAGTTGGAGTCTTTAACTCTATCTTGAGTTTCAAGAAAGCACTTATATATCCTCAAAAAATTATCTTGATCGGCACGAATCTTGAGACAAAATCAAGTTGGAAGCTTCCAAAATTAAAATTGGGACCATATGAACTTCAATTTCAGAAAACTTATAGTCAAACTGAACGTCTCAAAAATACGAACCCAACGACACCAAATTCAACCCAATCCGACCCCAAATGGGTCCAAATCAGAAGTCTGAAGAGTTGTTGGAAGGTTCGAACCACTATTTGGATTACCAAACGGTTTCCAAACATGAAGTGCCTATAATCGAATCGAGCGGCTCGGCGAGACGAATCCAACGAGCCCAAGATCATAGAATTCTGAAATCATTAAGGCCTTAGATGGATATCCGTACAACGCTAAGACGTGTGATTATAACTCTATCGCCGTGTATATTCTAGCCCGCAACAGCACTAAAGATCACAAAAGCACCACCCCGAGCACCATCGTCGTGCCACCAACTGATTATCATCTTGAAGCCTTCACCAATCACACACTACAGTCCTCGAACCACCATCACCGAGGAACTTGGCGTTAACACATAAACTTTGATTTGAAATTCAATAGACCTTTGAGGCTTCAATGATCTCAAAGCACCATCTAGGCACCATTGTCGGGCCACAGTCATGATTGTCATCGTCAATTGTCCACTAGGGTTGTCTGGCCTCTATTGCCCATCGACTATAGTTCTCCAACCACTATCGCATGTTGATTATAATCCTCTAACCTCTATCACCATATATCGTTATTCTAACCATATTTACCTTACTATGGTCCTTCAGACTATGTCACCCAACTACAGTGATTGCGGAAGGCAGCCATCAACAGCAACCATGGTGGTTGTTGGCTGTAGCAGGTGACAACAACAAGCTACAATGTCAAAATTTATCGTGCACTTGAAAATCGCCCAAATCTAGCCGTTTTGAAATACAACAAATTTGCATTTGGAAATGCATTTCAAATATATCAAAATTATATTATATATTTCTTTTACTTCAAATCAAATGCCGATATTTTTAAAACCCTTACATTTTCTATACTTCATACCATTTTTCTAACTAAACAGCCCATATATTTAAAACTAAATCGTGTTAATTTCAAATTGAGACAAATTTGAAACTTTTTTAAACAATGCTTATTGCAGAACTATTGGAGAAGTACGAGATAAAAAATCTCAGGAAGCTGCACACAAGAACATTTAGATTGCGTGAATTTAAAGAAGTGGGCGGTCAGTATAAAAAATTATAAGTGCTCATTAGCTAGTTTGCATTTAAAATTTAATAAATAAAATTTAACATATTTGGTTATTTTGATTTGATGTTGATGCATCCTCAAAAAAATTTCTTGATCGGGCACGAATCTCGTGGCAAAATAAAGTTGGAAACTTTGGAAATTAAAATTGGGACTATCCGAACTCCGATTTCAGCAAACTTATAGTCGAACTGAACGTCTCAAAAATACGAACCCAACAACACCAAATTCGACTCAATCTGAACCCAAATGGGTCTGAATCAAGGACTCGAAGGGTTGTTGGAAGATTCAAACCACAATTTGGATTACCAAACCATTTTTAAAAATGACATGCTTATAGTCGAATCAAGCGGCTCGAAGAGAAAAATCCAACGAGCCCAAGATCACAGAATTTTGACATCATTAAGAGCTTTAAATGTCTAACAAATGATCCACAATCAAGAGATTCAACATCGACCATCCATCCAAACCACTCCCCATTTACCCTTGATCTTCCTCCTAGTTACAAGTCATGCCACTATAGAAAATCTATAAATAAACCCCTCCTCCCTCTTGAAAAGGATGCTCCAAGCAAGAGTGAAAGTTCGAATAGGTTGTTAGACATAATAACTATCCCAAGGCTAACCAAGATGGAGGTGAATTGGTTAATTTAATTTTTTTTATAATTTAGAAAATTGATTTAGATATTTTGCACAATAGTTAAATTTTTTTAAAAAAAAAAAATTAAACCATAAATTTTAAACATGCAGAAAATAAAAAATAGTAAAAAGTAAAAATAGAATAACACAAAATTTTATAGTAGTTCGATCAAACTAGACCTACGTCCACTCCTTGAAGACTCCTTCTTTAGGTATTGTACTATATCAAAGTGACTCTCTTTTTGCTCCCACAATAAAACAGAGAAGCCCTTACAACAACCTCTCTTCCACCAACTCTAGTGTAGTAGAGTACCGTCATCCTTTCTCACTCGCCTAGTGATGGCAAAGTACTGACATCTTTTATCATCCTCTTGATAACGGCAGAGTATCAACATCCTTTCTCATCCTCCTGGTGACTACAGAGTACTAGCATCCTATCTCACCCTCCTGGAGATGATAGAGTACCGACTTCCTTTTTTACCCTCTTGGTGACGGCAGAGTACCGTCATCCTTTCTCACCTTCATAGTGACAACAAAGTACTGGATCTTTTCTGAAAATCTTCTCTCAAGAGTCTTCAAAGAAGTAGAGCAGAGATTTGAAGAACATACAAAGATATCCTCACCTTTGGACAACCTTGTGAATCCTTCACAAATTCCACTTGCAAGATCTCTCAATTCTCACTCCCAAACACTATCCCAAAATACCCTCACTCTCACTCCCAAGAGAAAATTCACAAAAGAAGTATGGTAGATAATTTTTAGGACTCTTATATATAAATTAAGGACAAGAAAAATTATCTAAAAAGTTGAAAATTTCTAGTTGAACGTACTTGGATCATACAGTACGATCAATTATCATACCTACAAACAGTTCAATAAATCCTTGTATGATCATGTACGAACTAATTTTGTACTATGTTAGTCATATGTACGAACTAACATCGTACTGTACAAACATTTCAAAATTGATCAGGTTCATCCGATATGATTATGTACGAACATATTTCATAATATGGTCGTCATCTCTATGAAGCCTACATTATACAGTATGAACTTGTTAAATCAAATCATGCTTCATATGGTACAAATATGGATAACCCATTTCATACTCTAGATTTCGTATGCACAAAATTTATTTCGTATAGTGTGGACTATTCAAAAAATTTGCGTGTTCGTATGAGATGAACTAGTACACACCCATTTCGTACTCTAGACGTCATATATACAAACTCTACTTTGTATAGTACGATCAGTTAAAAATGATGAGTTCATTCGGGATGAATTAATACATATTTATTTCAGACTTTGGACGTCATTTATATGAATCCAACTTCGTCCAAAAATAACAGTTCAAAAAAATTTCCAAGGCATGATTCGATTAACTTAGTTTAGGAGGAACATTCAAGTCAAATCGTCTAATACAATTCAAGAATCGTACAGTATGATTAGTTTTTAAAATAAAATTTTTTACTCACTCCCCAGTATGTGTGTGCACGATTACCTAATTACAATCATATTTCCTCAGACTCAAGAAAAATAGAAAAAGTACAGACATTAATTATAAAAAATCATAATCTAATCTATCTTGAAGTCTTCGACAATATCGAGTATGATTTTCATGAAATATTAGTACACATAAATAACATAAACTAAATTTTTCCAATGTGTTGGGAGAAAAAGTAATCAACATAATAATATTTTGGTATCATAAAAAACTCACATAATATAAAAATATAGTTTTGAAAACTAAGTTGTAATAATCTCCTCCATTTTTATGATGGCAAAATAATTATTTTTTGAGTTAACACTTAAGAAAATTTTTTTTCCTAAGCTCCCCCTAAATGAATGACCAATTTAAAATAAGGGATTACATTGAAAATAAAAAACATAATAACAAATTAAAAAGACCAAAAAAATAACACAACAACAACAACAAAAGACCCAAAAGCTTAAAAAACTTAAACAAAACAACACAACAAACACACACACAATAACACAATACACATATCACAAAAGTCACACAACAAATAAACATAACAAATATCTAACAATATCAAAATAATTAATACTTCAAACAATAACTAATACATCAAACAATAACTAATGACTCCCCCTTTTGACAATAATAAAAAGGGAAGTACATCTTGAAACAAAAAATTTTTATGAATAAATCATAATAGTTAATGAAGAAAATGATTTTAAGTTAATTACAAATACAACATTAACTTTCTAATGCTAAAAAGAAAACTTAAATTTTAAATCAAAGAACAACTAATATAAGAAAAGTCAACCATGTTCATTGTTTATTCTAGACAAATCAAATAAAAATAATTATTACAAAAATGATGAAATAAAAATTAATTAGTTTCTAATTCAATAGTGAATATTATTACTGATTATATGGATTTATATAAGAGATAGAATGATAAATGAAAGAATAGTATGAATTTTTCAATTGGCGACATTGCGCATCTTTTCAATTATTTGTGGCACACTTTGTGTAACTTTTCAGTTTGGGTTAATTTTGTGCATCTTTTTCACTTTCATGAATATTGCGCATCTTTTTAAATAAGTGGCATATTTTATGCATCCTTTTAAGTTTGAC